TACATAATAATAGCAATGACAATGATGAATTTTCAGTTGTTGTTTGTGATTTGGAGGTTGCACGTGACGTCATTGTTGTTGCACGTGATGCGATGGTTGCTGGTAATGTTGAGGTAGTGATTTTGCTGTAACTATGGCCGATACTGACAACATTTTGATATCTTAAACTCCTCAATAGTGTTGAGTTTGTAAAGAATTATTTTTTTTGTGAATGTTTATATTATTAAGGTTGATGACAAAATTGTGACTTTTATGCAAAAATGTGAATGAACTTGTAAATGTTGGCGTTTAGGTTAATATCGGAACTTTACTATAACACAAGTGTTGGGTTTTGTGCAGTTTTCACAAGTTGAATAACTTGCAGAAAACGTACGATGGCTACAAATTAATGTACGTGTATGTCCAGCATGTTCCAGCGGGTTAAATCCCACTGAAGAGCCATTACTCTTGTGTCTCTATAAAAAAAAGTCAGCCATCACACTAGTGTTGTACTGTGTTGTATTGCGGTGGTTGTTCATCACTTTTAGACAATTTTTTAATTAATTACCGTCAAAATTACAATGCTTTAAAAATGATCTAGAAAGATTTAAAACTGATCACATGTTCAGTTTACTTTACATTGTGTAGCGTTGCAATCTTCGACCCTTACGCAACTTACGTACTTACGCACTAGAACAATGCGCATAGACATAAACATAATGGCCGTTATTTGGCGAATAGCAAAACAGGAAGACGAAAGGAGAGAAAGACATTCAGACAGATTGAGAAGAAGAAGAGAAAGACGTTCAGACAGACAGATGGAAAACAGAAAAGAAAGACATTTAGACAGACAGATAGAAAGACAAAAGAGAAAGACACTCAAAGAGATAGAGAGACAGAAAGGAGAAGAAGGCGTGCGATATTAAGACTATAAATAAAGAGCATTTGGCGTCTGCGTCATATTTCAAACCTCACATCAGCTTGCATAAAAATAATAACTATAACTCCGTTCCAATGAGGATGGTGGTGAAGATGATGATGTTTATCATGATGATAATAGTATGATTGTATGATTGAGAAACAATGATGAAAATTAACCCAATGATGATATTTTGGAAACAAGGTATCACGTTTGATGATGTTGAAGATGACGATATTTTGGATACAAATTAAGCGATATCATGCAAGATGTTGATGAAGATGATGATATCTCTGAATATGTCGATGATGAATGTATGTAAAATGTACATCACAAAACAAGGACAGAATATAATTTATTCACAAAGAGGGAAACGTGAAATCAACCTTGTCCGACGCACAATAACGACGATATTTGCACGTACATTTTGAGTCACTGATGCATATTTTATTTTTCAAGTTTGTGAGTTGCACCTCTCTTTTATTTGTTGATCTTGTACGTGAGCATACGTGCCTTCACCCTTCTTTGTATTTGTATTTTTGTTTGTGTTTTTATTTTGTTTGTTCGTGTTAAAATGTTATGTTTACATACACGTGTGTGTGTGTGTGTGTGTGTGTGGTGTGTGTGTGTGTGTGTGTTTGTGGCCTGCTATCTCCGTTCGAATTCTCAAACATGTGTGTAACAAGAGAGAGTCACGTGCATTCCGTGGTTTATATCAGACGACTGAACAATGAATAAATCACAATTTTTCTGAAATATTTTGAATAGGTACATTATATTCAACTGTAAGAAACAAATATGAACGAACTTGTACGTATGTATTTATTTTGTCAAACTCGATCAAATTTACCAGATTATTTTTTTCCATTTAAAAAAAAAGAAACAATGTGGTAAATTTGATCTATTTTTACAAAATATGTATTCAAGAAAACATACTGCCTAAATACAGATATATTTGTTTATTTCCATATAGTTTTGTGCTTTGTTATTGCTTAAATGTCGGTACGTGCCAACCGGAACAAAGTTATTTTTGTAAAGGAGCTTGTGTTGAAAGTTGCCATAAAGATTGCTCCTGCCGTTGTTGTATTTCAAAAGTTTATTAAATCCGCGAGTCGGATTGTGCAGAGAATAACATAATGACGATGTTTATTAAAAATTCTTTCAGCTCTTCTGCCTTACTATAAATTAAAAATATATATTAAAAAGATTATTATCATTGTGAAATTTTTGAAGAATTATTGGAATTAACTTAATGTTGAATCAAAGCATGGTTTATAACGTGTCATAACTGTTGCTTTTTATTTGCCCTGTTACATGAAATGTGTGCCATAATAGTGCTGCGTAGAAATAGTACTGCACGCACAATCCAAACACCACACTTCACGTGTCTGTTGTTTGTTGTACTGCGCTGTGCAACTTAATGTTGCTTAATGCTGGAAAGGGGGAAAAGATGGATGGCCAGTGCACACATGCATCTCGCAAATGCCTCGTTGTAAGAAATAATTTTGTTTCTTGCTTTGTCTGCTCTGGCCTGTCTGTCTATCTGTCTGTCTGTCTGTCTTTCTGTTTGTTGACGTTTGTTGCAGATCACTGTGTGTGTGTGTTTGTGTGTGTTTGTGTGTGTTCGCCTTGTTGTTGTGTTTAATGTAGTTGGGTATCATTAAAATTGAACCGGAGGAATGAAATGTAATGAAAATTGCATTCTTCTTCAGTTGTTTGTAACATTTAAACTGTTCTCGTGAATGTTCATGTTATCTTATATTACGTTACCTTACGAAAGTTATGTTACGTGTTGTTATGTTGCGTTACGCTTCGCTATGCTCTGCCATACGCAGTTGGTTCTATGGCGTGTTTGAAGAAAAGCTTATTTTCTTATCTTTGGCGTGCCGTAAGTCTTTTTAGTCTTTGGTCCTTTTTTTAATCTTCTTCATTTGTATTAGGTATAAGTAAGCCGTTTGTTTACCCTGCTATTTTTTACGCATTTATAGTCAGGTTTCACATGCACGTACACATACAAACACACAGACAAAAACATGCGTGCACACCACACACACACACACATACATTAGAAAGTTAAGCACGGGTGAAAATGCTGTGATTTTTCTAAGCAACTGTATACCTGATAGCCTGAATCCTATATATACATTTTAAAGATGGATGGATTAATTAATTAATTAATTGCCTAATTAAATTTAATTAATTGTTTAGCGCTGTTCACGCAGACGACGTTTGAAATTTTTTTGTTTTGACAGTGAACTAAGTACATCCTCATCTCATCTACCGTTCGTTCGTTCATTCGTTTGTTTGCATATTTATTATCGTGGTTCCGAAATGTCTGCGCGTCAAAATATAAAATTGAAGGAGTGAGCCAATAAACGCACTGATGAACGATTGGACGGACAATCCAACAGATGAAAGATCAAATGAACGAAATAGCAAACCAGCAAGCAAACTGTCAAACAAGTGAACGAGCAATCAAAAGGAAGAATGAATGAATGAATGAACGAATGAATGAACGAATGAATGGACGAATGAATGGACGAATGAACGAAAGTTTAAACGAAGGCTAGGTAAAATAAATGGATGAATAATGAAGGCATGTTTAATTAATGGAGAGAAAAATTAGTGGAGAGATGATTTGCTCTTGGAGACGTTTGTCGTCCTTCTAACTTCGTCATCTTTGTACTGCTGTTTGTTTCTCTTACTCATCTTTTGGTTATAAATATTTTGAGTGTATGTATGCGTGCCTGTGTGTGTGATTGTGTGTGTGCGTGCGTGTGTTTGTTTGTGCAGTCTGTGCTATCTGTGCATAAATTGCTTTTATTTTTATACCATTTCTTTACACTTTAATATATCATATTTAGACACACATGAGAAATATTTGGGCGCGTATACATATATAAACAGATTACATATGAATAAATAAATAGTAATATATTCTAGACATTCAGAGAAACAAAGCTTACATGAACAAACACGTGAACATACAAATGTAGCCATAGATCATTGGTTGTTTGTTTGTTTGCTTGTTTGTTTGCATGTTTATTTGCATGATCTGCCATGGGATAATATTATTATTCAATTGATTATGTAAAATTATAAAAAAAATTAATGCACTTGTGTGATGAGAAAGCGAAGCTCGCCTTTTTGCTGCCGTGTAGGCGTGTGTTTTCCGTTGTGTTACTGCATATACGTTCGTGTTTCTGTGTATATGCGTGTGATTTTGTGTGTGTTGGTTTATGTGTATACATGTGCGTTATGACGGTTGTTATAACTAGAAGTGTTCCTGGCAGCATGCCATAGAAGCCTGGTTCTTGCATGCCATCTCCTGCTCTGCTCCTCCTGCCCCTTGTCTATTCAATCGATTTTGTTGTTGTTGTTGTCTAATTATCTTCCTACTCGGCAATCGTTCAAATTCATTCAATACACACGCGCAAACAAACACACATACAGACACAGGTGCCAACAGACACACAAATCGTTCAAATTAGAGACGCGGACCAACAAGCGCACGCCATCTTCACTTCATTCCAACGTGTAATTCAACAGAGGTTCTAATGTTTTATACGAACGAACTTTTATATTAGTAACTTCTCTGTATTTTTTATTATGTTGTATCTTATTGCAACCTTGTCTAGATATAATCGTTGTGAATGTGCAAGACCAGCGGGCATACAAACAGACATACATACAAACCGACGATACAACTACATGCTTAAATTAATTTAGACAAACAACAACACGCTAGCAGAGGCTAGCAAGCAACACATGTAGAGAGACAATGTGCAAGCCACACAGTTTCACAAGTAACGCAAATTTTCATGAAAACACTAACAAACACTTACAAACACACGCACAAACAAATACACATACAAACACAGGTACAAACAAACACACATACAAACATGCATACAAGCACGCATACAAACATAGACACATTTCAATATTTCAATGACTGGGAAATTTAGAGCAGGCAAACGTGCGAAAACAATGATTAAAAATCACATCTTCGAGGTGCAGCTGAAGGGCTGAAGTGTGCTTACTTGCCGTTGTTCGTCTCCAGTCGTTCTATACTTTCTTCCAACTCAGGCGCGTAATTGTTGTATCTCTTTGGTTTGTATGTTTCATCATTGTATGCTTGTCGTGTTTGTATGCTCTGTTTTATTATCTTTTTTTTAGTATCCTGCATCATGTTTGCTTGTTTAATTTGTATTGTATTAATAACTGTAATTATCAAATTCGTTATAGGCTGATTTGATGGTTATTTTTCATTGCATCATCTCATAGGAGCAATGCACGTGCACGTGTGTTGATAGGCAGTTGTAAATATGTAGTATTATAAGGTGGAATCTGATGTGGTGATCTAGTTAATGGTGAATGAATAAAACTTCGTTTGATGAATCAAATTAGATCAAGAATTGAATTGATTAACATTTCATAAAAAAAACATATAAATCAAAGTTAACTTTGAAACAGTAGGTCTGTGAAATATTTGTATAGATGCTAAAATATATCTTCGGAGCATGGCTAAAGTTTCAAGGTGGATTTCTTTATTAGAAGAATTGTGCAATCAACAAATAAGCAATCATTGAAAGTGTGCGGACAAAGTAGAGACATCAACTCATTTTATGGCCCTGCGCATGCAGCCAACTGAAGAGCGAGATAGAACAATAATACGAATACATGGCTCTCAAAAGATGCCAGAAATATAACGTTGTACTCTGTTGGGCTCTTCTACACCAAATCAATTTCCAAACTGTTCCTTGCTTTTCTGCTGAGTTTGCATTTTTGTCATTTTAATTAGAAAAATTTATCCAGTAATATCATTTATTCTCACTTCGTTAGACTAAAACGATCAACAGAAAAATCAATTCTCGCTTCCAGCGACTGAATTTGTTGTCACCTGTCTTCTTTGATTATTCTAATGTTGATGAATCTTCATCACGAGCTGTGTGTGGGAAGAAAACTACTGATCCAAAAATGTTTTCAAATTAAATTCAAATATCAAAATTAACAATACAAAATAGTTTATCTAACTCAATGATTGCTGAACGACGAACGAAGGAACAAAAGAAAGATTTTGTTTACAAGATGTGTATCTAAATATTTTTTTATCGAAAAGCGCAAATTATTGAAGCAGGCAGGCAGGCAGGCAGGCAGGCAGGCAGGCAGGCAGGCAGGCAGGCAGGCAGGCAGGCAGGCAGGCAGGCAGGCAGGCAGGCAGGCAGGCAGGCAGGCAGGCAGGCAGGCAGGCAGGCAGGCAGGCAGGCAGGCAGGCAGGCAGGCAGGCAGGCAGGCAGGCAGGCAGGCAGGCAGGCAGGCAGGCAGGCAGGCAGGCAGGCAGGCAGGCAGGCAGGCAGGCAGGCAGGCAGGCAGGCAGGCAGGCAGGCAGGCAGGCAGGCAGGCAGGCAGGCAGGCAGGCAGGCAGGCAGGCATGGGAACAAATAAATGCTCGTGTACTGGTCTGCAATTCTTCGTGTGTTAAAAAATTAAAACGGTAAACGTTGCGTCATTTCAGAACGCACTCGTGATGACGACCGCCACTTCATGACACGGCTCTTTGAATTTCTAGCCCCGCCCCACCCCCCCCCCCTCTTTCCTAATGACAACCTTCACCATCCATTCATTTTTTCTTTGTAAAATTTTCAATCAAAATATTTAATAAACTTTTTTATACTGAAATTTTATTTCGTTTAGTTCAAATTAATAGATCGTAATAATAAAATATTGTAAAATATCAAATGAGGTTTTTCAAATTTTATTTACATAATTCGTTGTGTGTATTGAAATAATTAATTGTAAATATATATTTTTATGTATGCTTATTTAAGTGCGTGTGCATGTTTGAGTACTCTTGTTTTTGTGTTTACACAAAAAAAAAATTTATTGAGTCCACATAATCTTCCATCTACAAATAAACATCTAAAAATTATAATAGCATAAATGTATAGGAACTTATTTACAGACAGATAAATAAAAAACACATAAACTTCTCTCATAAACCGGCATGCCACAAAAGCATCGCGAGAAAATTATGGCGGGAAGATTCTTTGAAGCGCAGACGAGCATCGTACATATTTCTTAGCGTACGCGTTCAACGCATATTCTTTATAAAAGCACTCATGGCAAGTTGTTTTACCGAGCAATAGCGTCCGTAAACATTCACCAACGAACTTGTTTTCATGCTTATGACGGAACATTTTATTCACTTACGTACGAATTTTTGATATAAATAAACAAGTTAAGAATGAAAAAGATTTTTTTTTTATTTAAAAGGGTCATGATTGTTGTCACTGTAGTACAAATGTTTAATTATAATTTATTAAGTAAGGAACGATGTGCAAGCGGTCCTAGTTTGTTACGCAGACGAGCTCGTCTCAACTGCCAACAACACACACAAGCAACACGAGAGAGAACATGAATACAAAATTCATTCAATTTTGTTGCCTACTCAACTTTCAAATTTCTATCTATCTATCTATTGTATGTATGTATGTATGCATGTATGTATGTATGTATGTATGTATGTATGTATGTATGTATGTATGTATGTATGTATGTATGTATGTATGTATGTATGTATGTATGTATCTTCAACTTCATCTTCAGTCCTCTAACTTACGCATACTTAAGAATAATTATCTTAATTTAAGAATGATAAGCAAGAAAATATAATTCTGATTGAAAATATGAAACCGATGTCAAAATTACTATTAGTTTGGTTTTCTAATTCGCAAATAACAATAATTATTATTCTATTGTTGTTGTTATTTTTGTTGAAGTGAGTCGTCGTCTGCAAATATTTCTCGAGGGGTCATTAAAACAGCAAATTAATATATAAATCATCAGCAAGATGTCAATGCTAGTATTATTATTAATAGAATTATTATTATTACTACTTTAATTATTATTACCATCATAATTATTATTATTATTATTATTATTATCATCATCATCATAAGCACATTAGTGGCAGTACTGTTATTATTGTTTACATTATTAATGACGTCACGTTTGAGGTCGGTAACGCTGTCGCGTTGCAAAAAGTGTTACTGTCTTATCTATCTCGATTGCATTGTTTTGATTATTCATTCACCTCTCAGTCAGTTTACCTCTATTACTAAGTATTACTATGTTACAAACACACACACACACATACACACACACAGACATACACACACACACGTATTCACATACACATATATATAATCTATGTATGTATGTATGTATGTATGTATGTATGTATGTATGTATGTATGTATGTATGTATGTATGTATGTATGTGTGTGTGTATGTATGTATGTATGTATGAACCCGTTTTGATGAACAAGCCATGGTTAGGCATGCAATCGTTTCCGAGTTCAACTTTTATCTATGTCCCTGGTCTCGCACAGTCAGGTATCTAGCAGCTCCATCCAGAATGCAAAAGGAATTAAATTTTTGTAATAAAATGTATGAATGTATGTATGTATGTATGTAAGTATGTATGTATGTATGTAAGTATGCATGTACGTATATATGCATAAATAATTAATGGATGTACGTACGTGGATGGCCTGCTAGTTGCAGTGTCACGTAGTTTTTCTTTTATTTGTATTCATATGTCATCTGCTGCTATTGAGGCTTGCGACGAAATTTGTCTGTTTGTTTTCTATTCGCATTCTGCAAGACAGCTATTTTGGAAAGGTCAGTTAATGAGACAGCAATTTCATTAGGATGTATTTGGAGGGATTGAATTTTTAAGGTATCGTTGGTTAACTACAATGACTGAATGATTGATTGATGTTGTCGCAAGCATCGTCCACATATACATAATTTTCATAATCTATTCAGTTGAAATCTCAGTTGAAAAAGTGTAATCTGCATTCATTTTTGAATAAAAATTCATTCTTAAACTCTTAAAGTCTTTAAATGCTCATGTTATTTTTGTATCATTTTTTAACATTTTTTGCCAATAGGACAACTGCATTTTAACCATCTCTACTCTGGTTCCGCCACTTCTGGCAACTGAATAATCACTGCGTGCAATGTCTCTTAATAACTCAATGAACACATAGGCACTCAGTGACGATCAGATGCAAACTTGTAACAGTCCAGCAACTATCAAGTCGTTTATAAATAAATACGACGCTAACAACAACATATTTTTCAATACATACAACATGTTTTCTGCTGCAACAACATCTCCTACAACATTGCAACAACAACATCATTTCCTAGGCATCTCAACCTCTCTAAAAAAAATTTCAAGTCTCTTCAGACAGACAAACTCAGATAGACAGAGACAGATGGATAAACAGAGACAGACAGACATACGGACCCTCGTCACTGTTGTCCTCATTAACCCCCCATCATCATTCATCGACTGGGCGCTTGAATCATCTGCTCACAGCATCACTGCATCCTCACACAACTTCGCAAAATATCAGCTGATCTATCTTGGAAAAGGTGCCGAAGCATGGCGCCAGTATCGACCGAGTTATCGATTCTTCGATAATTACCGACTCCTCGTGAAGTTGTTGCGGTTATTGTTACTGTCAGCCACTGATGGTTCTTGTTTTTGTTGTTGCTTTTTAAATTGCTGCTAATTTTGTTCATCCGTTATCATTGTTATCGCTAATATTTTTGCAAATGTATTTTTTAATGTTGATCTAATGGCTCTTTTCTTCTCGATAAAATTGTTGCAGATTCCTTATTGACGTCATTCTTGTGAATGTTGTAGACAATAACAACGACAACATTGTTACTGTAGCTTTAGTATAACGTCTTGATGTTGTCACAGATGTTTTGGCCACTTGTTGGCCGATGTTGGGATGATAACGCGTTCTGTTGTTGTTTTATTTGATAATAATCGATGCTTGCCATTAGAATGTAATTTAACGTTTCAATCGTTGGTGGGGTCGATTGTAGTTCCTCTTGCAACTGTTGCTCTTCTGTTCCTGTCCCTCTTGCAACACGTTGCAACTGTTGCTCCCGATGTCTGCTGGTGATTTAATGAAATGAAAATTCGTTTTGTGTGCTTGCCTTGCGTTACACTGCTGAGGTATACACTCAACGCCGACGAGTTAGAAGGTATCAGCACCAATTTTAAAATTATCACCTTTTGATTTGTATCTTAAGAAGTTAAGCGACATTATTTATATTATGAAATAATAATTTTGGGAAGATAATTTTAGTTAAATTTATTACGTCTGAATCATATTTATATATGCAGTAAAATACTAAAATACATGAATGGGCATCTCCCTCTCTCTCTCTCTCTCTCTCTCTCTCTCTCTCTCTCTCTTTTCTCACATCATCATCATATTCTTCATCATTATTATTAATATTATTGTTGTTGTTGTTATCGGTTTCGTGCCCATTAATATTATTGAGTTTTTATGACGTCATTATGAGGCGGTTGTAGCTCCTAAGATGTTCATAAAATGTTTTTTGTTTTATCGTTACGTAACATCGGTGGTGATGATGGTGATGATGATGATGAGGGTGATGATGATGATGGTGGTAATGATTGCGGTGATGATAGTGATGATGGTGATTTTTAATTTGGTGGAAATAATCTTTTTTTATAGGATGGATTTCCCGGGACATCATCATTGTCGTTTAATTTGTCTTCGTCTCAAATGTTATGTTAAATTGTTTTTTTGTTTGTATGTTTGTTTGTATATTTGTATATTTGTTTGTAGCGTGTTTGTTATTTGTTTGTCTGTCTGTTTGTCTGTCTGTCTGTTATTTTTTTGTTTGTTTGTGCGCATATATGTACAAAAGTATGACACCACAACTTGCGTATAATTATAATGAGTCTGACAAATAGACAACACAGCACCGAGTTCGAACGCTATGCATCACACACACGCAAGCATGTGATGGAACGTGATTTTCTTGAAATTCGAAACCGATCCCCGATCCACTGTTGTCAAGAGAGCTGCTTTTAGCGTGGATTTTCTACCACGTAATGACAATCATCTTGCGGATGAAATAACTGTACCTTCCGTGCACAATAAATAAAGAAAATTTACTCACACACGCATGAAGATTTGTAAATATATACAAACAAAATCAGGGGGAAAAAAATTTGAATAAATTTTCACCTGCTCCAGTTCAGCAGACAAAGCAATAGTTTTACTGAACGTCTTTAACAACCCACACAACCAACAACAAAAATCAACACAGCCAACAACAAGAATCAACACAGCCAACAACAACAAGAATCAATCAACACAGCCAACAACAAGAATCAACACAGCCAACAACAACAACAACCACCAACATAACATAGCCAGGCGTAAAGCACTTCATGCTCTACAGACTGCATGGAACGTTCCTCGCTAAAGCATGCAGTTGAAGTGCGTGTACCCTACTTGTTGCATCTTCTCTGCCGGGACATTTTTGTCGCACCTCCGAATGGGTGGGACAAAAAAGTTACCTATTTAAGTTTGTAAGAAAACATGTGTGCAAATGTACGTTTGGATTTAAAAAATATTGAAATAAATGCGCATTAATTTGAAGAAGTACTTGTCCATAATAGAACATTTGCAATAAACAAGGAGCTGCATGTTGTTATCAGACAGCAGTTCATGTGTGACTCCTTTGTTTGCTTCATGCCACTTTCATTAATGCTCTTGCTTTTTCATCGATTTCCTACGCCATCCTCTTCTTGAAGGTCTTTAAAAAATGTTTTATCGTAATTGTGACTCATTTGTTTGTCGTCTTGTTTGTTTTTTTTTCTTCTTTCTTCATTCTATATCATTAGTTGGTTGATTGGTTAGTTGATTGATTAGTTGAATGGTTGGCCGGTTGGATTGCTAGTTGGTTGATTGCCGGTTGGTTGGATGGTTGGTTTAGTTGGTTGGTTGTTTGTTTGATTGTTTTACTGTTTGTTAGCATGTTTCCGCCAATCAGTTCTGGTGACCATTTGAACAGTTTTCTTCAAATTCTTTTTATGTTGGTCTAATTGTGTTCTCCCGCCTGGTTGGACTCTGTGCAACTGTTTCATTCCATTCTGTCAGAACATCAATCGTGTTGTAAGAGCATCGATCCTTTGCAAAAGAAACTTTTGTGCAAAAATTTACTACCAAATTTTTGAAACTGTCATTATATTGAATAAATGTGCAGCTGCAGTTATGGTACGTTGTAGTTTGTACTTCAGACACCTAGAGTTTGAAAGGAAGTTAAACTTAAGTTATAACTGGCTTCAAGACAGCAAGTCACAATTGAAAGTGGCTCCACATCTATGATCCTAACGATTTTCATTGATGTCATTTTACTCTTCTGTTCAGTCCATTGGCGTGAAGCATACGCAGACGACAGTGACAATTTATTGGCATCCTAAATCATCAAGCTGCTAATAGACTTGCACACAACAACTCCACCAGTTGAATAGACAGAGTTCTATTTATACAGTACAATGAACAGATTAATTTATGATCATATACACAAACTTAGTTAGGTAGATGCATGCAAACACATACATAGATAGATACACACACACACACACACACATACCTGTATACATACACCATGCGCATACACCGAAGCAACTACACGCATACACACATCCAGTTACACACATGTATATGCACACATAGAAACTTATAAAAACACGTACACATGGGTTCACACAAGCACGGGCTCACATGCACTACCAACTAACACACATCGTACAAAAAATATACACATTGATTTAAATAAACACAAACACGCACACAAACACGCACACACGTGCAGACGATCACGAAGGAGCATTTTTCTATAGGATTGATTTATCGATGAACGAACGATGATGATTAGGTTTGTACAATTTGTGGAGAATAAGCGCACAGATGTGTACACGCGCGTACCTCTTCGCGTAAATTACACGTCGGTTTAAGCGTGTATTCATTTTTTGTTCAGTGAAGTTGCTGAATAAGCAGTGCCCATTCGCACAAACATGTGTGCAAACATTCGCACAAACATTCGCACAAACATGTGTGCAAACATTCGCACAAACAAGTGTGCAAACATTCGCGCAAACAAGTGTGCAAACATTCGCACAAACATGTGTGCAAGAATACGCGCAACACTGCCAGAGTTGCTAGTGCTAGATTATTTCCAACGGAATGAATAAAACTTCTTCGCAGTGCAGCAGCGCATCAAACAGTACACAAGGCCATCAGTGCAGTGCATAAAATTAGACTATAAAATGGGCCAGAAATCGTCATCATTCAAACAAACACGTGACCTGCACACGTCATTCAACTGCCGGCCTCGCCAGATAGCCGCTACAAACAAAGTTGTCAATTCTGTAGGAAAAAGATTAAAAATAAGGCCACAAAAATATTCCAGCCCTATCAGCTTACTTTTTAATATCCCAACACATCTTTTCAGGAGTCTTCAAAAATAACCACTCGCTCACAATTCAATATTCGTCAGTTCAAATTTCGAACACATCGTGCTCTGAATGACTAAAAATTTTGCGTTCGAAAATGAAACTCTCATAAATTAACATGACAGTGATGAAATTTAAGAACGAGTATATTGAAAAAAAAAGAAGAACGATTGAATAAACGGACGAACGATTGAATGAACGAACGAACGGATGAACGAACGAACAAAGGAATGAATGAATGAATGAATGAAACACGACCCACGCCATTACGAAGAAGGAATGAATGATATAGAGAGAGCGAAGTTGAGATATTAAATAAAATAATTCATGCACCCTTTCCACATTCGGAAATTGATTTCTCTCTCGTGATGGATGGCCGTCGCAGACTTATGAATGATAGTTCCATCCGTCAACTCCATTATCGCTCCTTACAAACTTCTCCTTCCACTCATTCCGAACCGACATAATATATTTATTACTCTTTATCCAGACCGCTGTGTACTTGACTTATGCATGCGTGTTAACATGCAATGTTAGATTAATACATTAATTATGTTAATTTATGGCTGCGTGGTTATACCGTAGTATAAATTATGCTAATTGAGATGGAAGACCAAATAAACTTTATTTGATTCTGCTTTGTCAACGTTGATAAAATAATGTAAAATTGTAAAACACTTCTCTTAACATCTGAACAATTGGTGCCGATTTAAATGTGCCAGCAGTCAGATATTTAGCTAATTTTTTTGCCAGCTAATATAATTTTTTTTTACTAAAATGTTGATGTTGTATTTTATTATTATTATTATTAATATTATATAATTATCATCGTACTTATAAATTATCTTATAAATTATTATTACTTTTTAAGTAATTCTTGCTACCCTACCCACTCTATTCTTAGTATGTAGGAAGTATATGTGGCGATTATCGCTAGGACCGTATATTTTGAACGAATGAACGAGCGTATAAATGAAAATATAATTTATTGATTGAGCGAATGAGGGAATGAATGAATGAAAAAAATAATGGTTGAGTGAGTGAGTGAGTGAGTGAGTGAGTGAGTGAGTGAGCGAGCGAGCGAGTGAGTGAGTGAGTGAAGGAGCAAAGGAGTGAAGGAGTGAGCAGGAATGCATCGCAAGCATCATCGTCATTATCATCATAAGCAGCAGCAGAAGTAGCAGTAGAAGCGCCAGCAGCAATACTAAATGGCACGTTATATTAAAGCAGCAAATTGTTCGGCCATGCACACCATGACCATCTACCAAACAAAAATTGATAAATGAACTGACCACGATAACGGTGCTGATGATGATAACATCGGCTAAGATGGTGGTGATAATGATTTAAAGATGGTTATGATGACGATGACGACGACGATGATGATGATGGTGACGCTTTTGTGTATATAAGGGTAAAGGTTTAACTGAAAATTTTGAAGCTGATAATAGTGACATCATTGTTTAAACTTAAAAATGGTTTGTTTCATTTTTTATTTTGATGAATTTCTGCCAATCCATGTTCATTCATTTTTCACACGCACAGACCAAGATATATTAAAAAAAAATACACAGACCAGATTTGACAAACAAACATATGTATGCAGATCCACACACACACACACACACACACACACACACACACACACACACACACACACACACACACTCACACTCATCCACACACACACACAACACACACACACATACATAAACACAAACACAGGAAAAATGAGCCACTGCACGTACATACTCCGTGGTTCATCGGTTTTAAATCGCTTGCTACTCTAGCACCGATCATTGGATGCACTTGAATGATCAGTGAAGATTTTTCATTACACAAAACTATCGCTGCTAATACTATTTCCTAGTAAAAATGGCTTCGTTATATTTTTATGTGTTTAAGTGTTTGTGTGTTTTCGCGTGCGTGTATGTCTGTATGTGTGTGTTTTTTTTGTGTGTTTGTATATGTGCGTGTGTGACGTATGTGTGTTTTTGTATGTGTGTATATTTTGTACGTGTGTCTGTGTTCTTTTGTAAGTGTCTGCGTTTGTGTGTGTGATATGCTTCTGTTTGTGTGAGTATTTGTTGGTTTGAAGTGCCTGTGTATATTAGGAATAAATTTAATTCTTTATTGTATTGATTGTATTGTACTGTATACTACAGTGTGGATACATTTTAAGATAATAATGATAATATCCAGAGGAAGGCGATATTTGTTTGTAGATTTTTAAGACGCATCAACCGAAAATAAATTCCTCGTTTGGTTTTTCAAATCGGACGAACTAACTTTTAAAAAAGTTATATTGAAAATGATTTAATCAAAAAATAACTATTCTGAATACTCAGGCTTTATAAATACAAATTCTTTATAACATATGACATGAAAATACATATAACATGAAAATACATATGATATGAAAATACATATAACATGAAAATACATATGACATGAAAATAAATTGCTTTCTACTTCGTTCCAACTTGCAAACTTCAACAAGCTTCTTAGATAGTTCTTGAACGAACTTTCAATCTTACTGTAATGAATAGGGTTTGATTGTTTCTCGCATAATTTCAGTATACTAGCGAGATATAATTTATTACCTATCAGTCCACTCGCAATGATTGTTGAGTGTGCGCTTCAAAGGTTAATTAGCTTTAAAAAATGTTGCTTGCGTATCTATGCCTGTTGAATTGTAAGCCTGCGTTCGTTTGTGTTGCGTGGTTTGTATGTGTTTGTATGTTTTTTTTTAATTATAAATGCGCCTTTGTTTGTATGTTGAAAAGTTTGTGTGTGTAGGTGAGTGAGTGTGTGTGTGTGTGTGAACGTGTGTGCGCATGTAAAGTAGAGTAATTGTAGTAAAATATTGTTTGCACTTGCTGAGCGTGAGTCACGTGTGGCTGTTGGTTTCTACGGTATGTATAGTTGTGTGTATGTATGTTTCTGTAGTATGTGTAGTTGCCGGTTGTGTGTGTGTGAGCATGAATTTCATTGTGCCACTTGTATTTATGAAAGGTTAGTCAAAATTGAATTCCAATTTATTATTTCCGGTCAGTTGCATGTGGTTACGCGCAGGCGTGTGTGTTTTCGCGTCTTTGCACGTGCGTGTGCGTGTGTTCATATTTGCATTTGTGTATATTGTGTGTATTTGTGTATTCATATTTGCATAAGCATTTGTGTTAGAGTGTGCGCGTGTGTGTTTCTATTGGCATTTCCGTTTGAGTGTGATGCATGTATGTGTATTTATTTAAATGGGGTTGTAAGTGTGTAAATGTTTCTTCAACTTGCCCTAGTGCTGCTTCAAGTTGGACTGATTGAAAACGACACACGCCTGTCCATTTTGTTTCATTATAGGATTTGCAGAGTAGGTACACTTAAACAAATTTCAACAGAGGACATAAACAAATTGAAATCTGCATAGAACACACGAAGTCATGTTTGTGTAATATTTATTCGCGTGTACCATGCCTTCATGCTAATAATATCTTCACGCACACACATGAATATACGTATGCATCTGTGCATCTATACATCTTTAGATGATATCTTGGCCTATCTTCAACTAAGATGAATAACGGGCATCTGCATGCACGCACGCATATTAAACATCAAATAATATATATATATATATATATATATATATATATATATTATATATTATTATATATATATATAACATAAATTAAACATACCTCGTCTCAGTTTGCGTAGGTCTCATGTATGCATATATGTGCGTGTGTTGTTACGTTTGGTTAGAGTGGCAGTGTATGTACATTTTGTATACAATTGTGCATCTTGAATGACATGTCATTGTGTGCGTGATACAACTGTGTGTACGTGTAGGGTTTTAATCAGGAATGTGAACGCACGCGTGTATTAAACTGGTATACATACATCTGTTGTCGGTGTAATTGAATAGAGTATGGGTGAATATGTACACAACACATTTGTATATGTACTTATAAACTTACAGTACGCACATACACGACCCAGCATGCAGTGTGGGCTTATTAGAAAGGAAGCAGACACAGACAGAGGCGTGACGTTGTGTGTTTGTTTGAATGTTTGTTTGTCTGTTTGTTTGTTTGCTTGTTTGTCTGTTTGTTTGTTTGTTTTGATGGCCACATGTTTAATGACTTTCGAATGAAACGTTGTAAAATAATGAACAAGAGACATTTCTCTTGGCAATCGATAGATGGATGCAATTATAATTGGATATACAGAATGATAGATGAGTAACTGGATTGATGAAGGGATAAATAATTGGATAGATGGATAGACAAATAAATGGATGAGTGGATGGATGGATGAATGGATAGATAGATGGATGGATGGATAGATGGATGGATGGATAGATGGATGGATGGATGGATGGATGGATGGATGGATGGATGGATGGATGGATGGATGGATGGATGGATGGATGGATGGATGGATGGATGGATGGATGGATGGATGGATGGATGGATGGATGGATGGATGGATGGATGGATGGATCATTTATTTATGCACATGTATATAAACGAACTATTGAATGTGGGTCGTGTATATTTGTTTTTGAATGGTTGACAAATAATAATAAATCAAACCAATAAGAATTTATGGGGAAATGTTTTTTATTTGAGGTTTTAAAAATTTTGTTCATCAAAGTCGTAAAGTGATTATAACATAAGCATCAGTGATAACAACATTCTGCTCACTCTTGTCTCATCATTATTTCAACCCATAATTTCATAATCGTCATCGTTATCAATCTTTTGTATATAAGTATCGTAGTTATCACCACAGCATTACCTCTACCATCCTCATCACATGTTTCGATCACCATCACCATCATCATCACCATCCTCATCACATGTTTCGATCACCATCATCATCACCATCATCATCACCATCATCATCACCATCATCATCACCATCATCATCATTGACATCATCTTCATTATTTTAGCATCATCATCGTTCCCACGTGGTTAATATCTTGATTATTATCATCACCACCACCACCATCATCATCATCATTACCTGCAGAGCAGTTGAATGAAGCATCTCCCAGCCAATGGCCATCAATGCAGGTCATCACGTGATGTTGACCGGTTGCTAAGCAACTAACGGTGGCTTTGTTGTCGTGGTGATGCTTCACTGAGGTCCACTCTGTCGCCTTCATCTCCGCGCATCCAAAAACTGACCACAACATGTCAATCAAAACAATTATTTGCTGGCCTCAGAGACTTGTTTGTATGATAATGAAGAACTCTCGTTGTAGGGTGGATTGTATTTGTTTCGCACGTGCGAACAAGTCAGCAGTTAATCGTGTGAATGCCAAATTTTGAATTCGTTAATTATTCAATTATTTCAATTCAATTATCTTATAACAACAAAGACCTGTGTTGTTTGTATAAAATTATAATTCCGTTATATGTACAACTGAGTTTCAACAAACAGTAACAAGTGATAATATTCCTCAATACAACTAGTCCATTGTAAATAAAATAAGAAAAAAAAATTATCATCAGATGGATCATAAGAGGATGACCAACTTTTATATTTGAGCAAAACTTTGCTCTCCCTCGTGACGTCGCCATCTGCCATTCTTTCGGCTAATTCATCTTTTGCCATGTGTGACCTCAGCGTGACCTTCACCGACCCCAGACCACGTGACGTGTACAAGTGACTTCCGCGTCGCGTGACGTCACATCCGGAAAAATGAAAGACACTGAAAGGGATATTGTGTTTTTGAAGATTGTGTTTCACGTCAGAGGATGTTTCGTCGTCTGCCTTTGAAGCTTATCTCATGTCATGGAGTGAGAAGTAGGTTTTAAGAGGAATTTTTATTATTAAAGTGAATAAATAATATTAATATATAAATAAATAATAATAAATATCATAAAAAATGTGTCTATTAAACTTTTTGTTACGAAAATTTGTTTCACTCTAATTTTGATTTGTTATTATTCAATTCTGATAAATAAAAAAGACTTGGTAAACATTTTTTTAAAGAGCACACTTACTTGCACACCTACACACTAATAACACTAACAGATATGTAATTTATGTATTTAATGTAAGTTCCCTGACATGACAACATTACATTAAGTTTGAGTGGACAACATAATTTTAAATTTCAATTTTAACCAACTAAAAAAAAAGAATTTTCATCTGAACAACAACAGAAATACGATGATGAGTTGTCAGAGTTGAAATTCGAAAAATGAATAATTGAACGGACGCATTTATTTATTTGTTTGAGATTTAGAGATTTATTTATATTCAGTGAGCGTTTCGTGAAAGAGTTAAGTTATATACGTTGTTGTTGTTGCAACAACTGTTTGCGAACAGAATGCGGTTGTTAACTTGAAATTATCAACACTCGCACAATCGTGTTGTAGTATTTTAAACATCAGTCGTTGAGTGAAAACGTAAAGGATGGAGTTAATCATAAAAGATATTACATGTCAACGTGCGTGTGTTTGTTTGTGCACGTGCAAGTGTGTATCACGTACAGTATACTGAATAGTAATCATGTTGTATATACACAATATATGAAGCCTAAACGATGTATGAGGTTTGGAATTCAGTTAATTCATCTTATATATACACGCACACAACAATCCTAGCAAGCCGTACTTGTTTAGCTTTCTGAAAGTTTCCGTTGAGTTGATCGGTTTGTTTTTTTGTTTGAGAAGTTTTTTCGGCTTGAAAAAGGTTTGAATGTTGTTTT